ATGGACTTGTCTAGTGGCCCATAATTTGTTGCTTGATTGTACACAAAACATACATATAACACTCCTTCACACACCCACACCCACCCACACAAAATATACACAAAATAAACAAATACATAAATCTACAAATACTCTAAAGATAAAAATAAATGCAAAAGAATAGAAATACACACCAAAAGAAAAAGAAAAAAAGAAAAAAGAAAAAAAAAAGAAAGAAAAAAAATATATATATATATTTGCACCCATATATACATAGACAGCTACACATTCATATATCAAAATAAAAAGAAGGTTGGCCTAGAGCTAACCTAGGGTCTCTACCTAGTCGCCCAGCATTTACCTAATTATTTGACGCATTTTAAAAACAATCCTTGTGATTGGTGAACTAAACAAGAGCCAAAACGACTACGTAGATCCCATGAGAGAAATCTTTTAACGAGACTAGTTTTAACTTATCTGCCTGCATATTTACCTTCGGATGTTAGTTTTGTGAGGACATATATAAGGTATTTGTTGAAGTCTGTGAATTTGTTGAGTTCTTCTAGTTTCTGAAAAAAGGAAAAAAAAGAATGCATAGTACTTGGCCCAACTACAAAAACCTGCTTTATCAAAACTTACTTAAACATTGAGCTAAAAGTTCCTTCACTATTGCGCCTCCTCTACTGAAAATTTTCTAGTTTGAAATCTAGCTCTGAGTCTCAGTAAACAGCAAGGTTATCATAGTGAAAGAATTTTTTCAGTCTCTTATAAATAATAAATGCAGAATACATAAAAAAAAATATATATATATAACTGACTTTATAACATCTATAATCTTACTAAGGCACCTAAATAACTTATCTAATACGTCTCAAGAATAGAATTTAATATCCGTAAACTATAAAATATAAAAAGAAACACATTCATATTAATAACAATAATAGTATAGTAATAAAACACTAATAATAATCATAATAAATAATAATAATAATAATAATAATAATAATAATAATAATAAATGACAATAATGAAAAAATACTTGCCTATACATACCACACCGCCCATTTCTGCCTCCCATCCTTTTCGCTCTAAACTACGCTCGAAAATGAATGCCAAGTGTCTACTTACGGTCCTCACCTTTCCTGATATCTAAAGCACTGACATTGGAAACTCACCTGTTATATCATTAATGAACATGTACACACTTGTTTTATATGAATTATAAAAAAATAAAATAAATACAGGGGGGGGGGGGGGAGAATGTTAATTGATATACATAGGGGGAAAAGAGAGAGAGGTAGGAGGGAAGGGGGGAGAGGGAGAGATGGAGGCAGAGAATGAGAGAGAGAGAGAGAGAGAGAGAGAGAGAGAGAGAGAGAGAGAGAGAGAGAGAGAGAGAGAGAGAGAGAGAGAGAGAGAGAGAAGAGAGAAGAGAGAGAAAGAGAGAGAGAAAGAGAGAGAAAGAGAGAGAAAGAGAGAGAAGAGAGAAAGAGAGAAGAGAAGAGAGAGAGAAAGAGAGAGAGAAAGAGAGAGAGAGAAGAGAGAGAGAAAGAGAGAGAGAAAGAGAGAGAGAAAGAGAGAGAGAAAGAGAGAGAGAAAGAAAAAGAGAGAGAGAGAAATGAATCATATTCATTGAGAAGAATGTAAAAAAGGTATGAATGAGAATAAATATTTACACAATACAAAAGCAGCATTCAACTGGCTTCAAATATATGTAAAAAATACATGTATTACAGGCAAAGATATAATTGAAACTGGTTAAATGCATCTCTTATATTGTGAAGATATTCATTCTTATTCAAACCTTTCCTATAGAGCGAGGGAAGGAGAGGGAGGGAAAAAGGAGGGCGAGGAAAAAATGGAGTGACAAAAAAACGGGGAATATAACAAAACATGGAAAAATAATAATAAAATACAAAATGCATAAATAAAGTATCATATAAAAAAGAATATGGATATCCTAGTCACACCTATAAAGCACTAAAACATTTACATAAACTTGTATATATTATATTCACAGTATATAAAATGTAATAATATAATATATTAGTAGAAATAAAAACCTTACATACTAACGAAATATAAATAACATAGTTTTACATATAAAGCTTGGACAATTCTCAAAATGAAAGCAATACTTGCCTAAAATAAATAAAAACTGCTTATGCTGGTAACAAGCACATAATAAATAAATGAATAAATTATAATCGTAATAACAAATAAATAAATACATCTTCAAAATCTTCCCCTACTATGATATTCTTTCTAAACTTTTCCAATTTGTATGCAAATGCCTGGTAAAAAAGCCCTTGCGCAAATGCTATTCCTAACTATTGGAAGCATACCCATCAAGACGTAATTGCATATATCGAACCCTTTCCGAATTTATGGTACTAACAATTGTAATGAATGGCCACCAACAGTTCCATGTGAAAATAATGACAAAGTCGCCTACCAAAAATACAATACTTAAATGAATAAATAAGTTAAAATTTGCTTAATAAAAGTATGAATACAATAT